GGAACCGCCAGGGTGGAACGGCCACGGTGGAACGGCCAGGCTGGAACTGCCACGGTGGAACGGCCACGGTGGAACGGCCACGGTGGAACGGCCAGGGTGGAACCGCCAGGGTGGAACGGCCGGGGTGGAACAGCCATGGTGGAATGGCAAAGGCACAGAGTACAGACAGGCACCGGGCCCTTGTCCCCGAGGGGCCTGAGAGTGTTGCTAATAAGGACTCAGGCTTTAAGAGAAGCCCTAGGGTAGAGCTGGCTCCCAGGGACATTGGGAGGCCTGGAGTGCTCCTGGGGGGTGGGGAGCGGGCCTCCCTGTGCTCTAGAATCCTGGGGACTACAGGTTGGGAGGCCCAGGGAAGACAAGAAGAGGCTGAAGTGGGGCCGTGCAGTGGGACCACGGGGAGCAGCCACTGCCCAAGGCTGGGCCTAGACTCCCTCCCAGCTGTGGCAAGGCTGGCCCTGGGAGGGTGTGACCCCCGGGAAATCCCTCTGCTTCCCCACCTCCTGCAGAGGGCAGGGATCCTCAGGGAAAGCACAGGAACCAGACTTTTGGAGACTTGGATCTTCAACACACCTCAGGGTCCTTGGCTGGCCTTGGCCTTCCGGGCCTCAATTTCCCCATCAGCAAATGGAGATGAATCCCAGCTTGGCTGCCTCCTGGGATCTGAGGAGAAAATGAGTCATGTGAGGTAACTTCCAGGCTCCCTGCTATGGGTAGGTGGGGCGTATCAGATTATAAAGTGGGGGTGCCCTCACCCCCAGGCTAGACCTACACCCCCTCTCCTTCATCAAGTGGCCTCTCTGTGTCTGTCCTTTGGGGTGGGGACACTGTAGGCCATAAGAAGGGCAGTTGGGGGGTCAAAGGCCAAGGGTCAGGGAGGCAGAGTGTGGGGAGAGTGTGGGACCCTCAGAGGGGAAGGAAGTTCACAAAACCACATCTTGTGTGGAAATGGAGGCTGGAGGTCCAGCCCTGGGGCTTGGTCTGGGGTTCCTTAAGGAAGAGCTGAGGGTCTGAGGGAGGACGGACACCCTGGCCTTCTGGCCTTCTCTGGATGGCCCTGCCTTCCAGATGCCAGGACGGGAGCGCAGTATCCTGGAAGGGTGCTGGGAGGCTGCTCAGGAAACTCTTTGCTGCTTCTGTCTCTAGCTCTTGTCAATAAAGATGGTGACATCTGATAACAGCTGTGGCCTGGGCCAATTTCTCCACCAGATATGCCACCAGATGGGTGTGAACGTGTAGGTGTGCGTGGGCTCTGTGCACCCTGGTCTCTTCAGGTGTGACCTCCCAGAGTCCAGGTTGTTCAGGGGACATGGAAGATACCCTTGATGGCCCTGAGCCCACATCCTTATAGACTTCCATCCAAAAGCAGTAGATGTCCTTTCTCCCTATCATCCAAATAGCAGATCTCAGGGAAGAAAGTGGATTGGCTCCGACTAGGTCACATGATGGTCCCTTGGGCCAATCACAAAGACACAGTGATAGGGTGCCATGATTGGCCAGGTGCAGGTCATGTGCCCACACTGCCAGCCAGAGAGAAGGTAGGGCACTGTGATGGACAGTCTGGCCTGGTCCGTGGGGCAGGGGTGGGTCCAGGACAGCCTACTAATGGGTAGGGGAGGTGGGCCAGGCACCAGCAACCAACAACACGTGTGTCTGGGTGTGTGTGGGGTTTGCTGTGTGTGGCTGCCTTTGCTGGTGTGATATTGTGTGTCAAGGTGTATGTGAGTCCAGTGCAGGGTGCATAGCAGGTGGTTGGGACATCTTAGCTACGTCCATGAGTGAACGTGCATTGTGTTGTGACACACGGCCGGTGTGGAAGTGGTGGGAGTGGAGGAACTGCTGGGGCCCCAGCGTTGGGTGGGAGTGGCTCCCTGGGCAGGGTCCCTCCTCTGGCCCTGGCAGCTCTTGCTTCCCCACGACTGGGTGTCCTCACCAGTGCCTGCTCACATGCAGCCTGTGTGTGCGTGTCCTTGTCCCCCACACACGTGTGTCTGATAGCCTTGTGCTCCCAGGGCCTGGCAGTGCTGCTGTGGCCTTTCTTAGGAGTATCTGGAATGAATGAACAAAGGGAGCCACTGCATGTCACAACTCCAGGGGGCCTGTTCACGCTGTGCCTCTAACCTCCTGTGGAACTACATGGCGGCTCTGAATAAATGAGTGATAAGGGACGGGAGTGCTGAAGGAGCTTGTATGGGGCGTTGGGGCTAGAATCTGTGGGTGAGGGGAGCCTTCAGGGCTGTAGGGTGAGGGGGGGCTCTGTAGCTGTGAGCTGGAGCAGGGAGGAAGGGGTGATGATAACGCACCTTGCCCACTCCTGTCCTCCTCCTCCAGCCATTGAGGTTGCTCAGACCCGAGCCTTTACCTTGAACTTGTCTCTCAGAGGCGGTTGCCAGGCAACAGCCCTGGGCCACCAGGCTCTGGACCGGGACTTCCTGCATCAGCATCGGTATTATCAGAGGGGAGCTGGGAACCCGCAGGGCCTGGGGCAGGAAAGACCATGCTCCCAGATCTTTGGGATCCTCTTTACCTAGAAGAGGTGGGGCAGGTGGAGGCCACTGACCACAGGAGCTGACAGCCTGGAATTCACAGGGTGCTGGACACGGAAGAAAGCACGGAGACAGGCTGGGCGCGGCGGCTCACGCCCATCATCCCAGCACTTTGGGAGGCCGAGGTGGGCAGATTGCTTCAACCCAGGAGTTCGAGATCAGCCTGGGTGAAACCCCATCTCTACCAAAAAACCAAAAAATTAGCCAGGTGTGGTGGTGTGTGCCTGTGGTTCCAGCTACTTGGGAGGCTGAGGTGGGAAGATCACTTGAGTCCGGGAGGCGGAGGTTGCTTGGGAGGCTGAGGTGGGAGGATCGCTTGAGTCCGGAAGGCGGAGGTTGCAGTGAGCCAAGATCGTGCCACTGCACTCCAGCCTGGTGACAGAGCAAGACTCCGTCTCAAAAAAAAGAAAAAAAAAAAAAAAAAAGGTCCTGAGGCCAAAGTCAGCAGGCCTGTGCCCTAGGCCTCCCACAGCAAACCTACTGTGTGGCGTTGGGTCATTTATTTCACCTCTGGATATAGTTCGCTTAGCTAACAAAGGCTTTTCTGAGCACCAGCTGTATGCAAAGCCCTGGCAGGCGGCTGGGGTCCAGTGCAGGCAAACGGACGTGGGTCCTGTACTCTCAGCACTCACAGGCAGCCCACAAAAGGAGGTGTAGCCCAATTTTAGGGTCTCAGTGCGAAGGGAGACATGCCGCGTGCTCCGGGTGAGCCTAAGGAGGGCTGGGGGCTGATGGGGGCTGCGTGTAGAGTGGAGGTTTCGACCTAAGCGTTCCAGGCAGAGGCATCCGCAGGCGCTGAGGCCTTGAGCTGGAGGAAGGTAGTAAAAGGAAGGAGGTGGCAGAGAGGCCCCTTTTTCGGGACAGAGGCTGCGTCACACAGGGCTTCCTAGGGCATCCATCCCTGTTAAGGCGGAATTGTATCCCCCTGAAATCCCTATGCTGAAATCTTCACCTCCAGAGCCTCAGAATGTGGCCTTATTTGGAAACGGGGTCATCGTAGGTGTAGGTGGTGAAGAGGTCACACTGAGGATGCTCCCTAATCCCATACAATTGGTGTCCCTAAGAAAGGGGGAGGCCGGGCGCGGTGGCTCACGCCTGTCATCCCAGCACTTTGGGAGGCCGAGGCTGGTGGATCGCCTGAGGCCAGGAGCTCGAGACCAGCTTGGCCAACCTGGTGAAACCCTGACTCTACTAAAAATACAAAAATTAGCTGGGCGTGGTGGCGTGCGCTTGTAATCCCCAGCTGCTCAGGAGGCTAAGGCAGGGGAATCACCTAAACCTGGGAGGTGGAGATCATGCCCCTGCACTCCAGTCTGGGAAACAAAGCAAGACTCCATCTCAAAAAAAAAAAGGTGGAGATTCAGATGCAGACAGGCACCCAAGGAGACACCACATGAACATGAAGGTAAAGATCAAACGAGGCACCTGCAAGCCAAGGAACACCAAAGATTGCCGGCACAGCACAAGCTGGGAGCAGCCCTTCCTTCCCTTGCAGCCTCACAAGGAATTAACCTGCGGTGGCCAAGCCTGGACTTCTGCCCCTAGAACCGTGAGACAATCAGTTACTGTTGTTATAGTCACCCAGTGCGTGGTGCTCTGTTAATGCAGGCCTGGCAAACTCTAATTCCCAAGTGCAAAATGGAGATCGTGGCCCCTTCTCTCCTGGGGCTCCCAGAGGACCAGTTGGGTTAACCCATTCATTCCTTTAAACTCTCCAAGAATTTATTGGGTGGTTGCTGTTATAGTGAACCCTAAGTTTCTCTTCAAAGAATCAGTATGTCCTGATCAGCTCTCTTATACTTTAATTCTCTATTTTAAAGTTTAACTTCCTTGGAATTCCAGTAAACAACCTTCTCCACCGGTTCTAATGAGTAGTTCACTTTTGCTCCCCCCACCCTCAATCATCCCGGTCACCTGATCACCTCTGGCTACCTGCTCTGACACACCTGTAACCATCCTCCCTGCCAAAACATCCAGCCTGCCACTCATCCCGGACCCCTGCTCTTTCTAAAATAGCCGATCAGTATTAGTCTAGCTTGTGTGGTCTAACCCTAGCCAATAGGGGACGACACAGCAGCAGCATCAACCCCCGTCAGGAGTAAGTACTTCTTCCTCCATTGTCTAAGTGAGTGCGGCCATCATTGCCCCATCCATGCGCTGCAGCCTTCTACAGAAGTGAACTGCCTTTCTGGGAGGATTCATCTTCCAGTGCTATTTCTTTTGTGGCATCGAAATTTTACTTATAACATTGCCAACTGCAAAAGGCTGCGGGCAGAGAAGTCTGGTACAGGGCCTGTCTGTCTTCCAGGAACCAAGGAAGTGATGGCGATGATAAGAGGGCAATTCTTTTTCTTCTTCTTTTTTACTTTTTACTTGAAAACTTTATTAAAGGATTAAACCTGAAAAAAGAACAATCAGAATGCCAGCCCTTTGCATAAAGCCAGCAAGAAAAAGCAAAGAGAAGCAGAGAAAGAAGAAAGAAAGAAAGAAAAGAAAGAAAAAAAGAGAAAGGAAGGAAGGAAGGGAGAAAAGAGAACGGGTCCTCTCCACTTCTTCCCAGAGACTTAAGTGGGGGGAGGGAGGAGACCCAGAGAGCAATTCTTAAGCACACGGACTCTGGAAGTGCCTGGGCTTGAATCTCAGCTCATCTTCACTAGCTCTTTGATTTTGAGCCAATTAATTAGCCTCTCTGTGCCTGAATTTCCTCCTCTCTCAGATGAGCATGAGAGTAACTGTCCTATTGCTAGGAAGTTTAAATGAGTTAATATTTGCAACAGCATAGGACAGCGCCCAGCACACCATGGGTGCTGTGTGTGACGTGGACATGCCAGGCCCTAGTCCAGGGACCATAGTTTAAAAAGAAAACTGTGAAAATAGGGGCTGAGTGGACAGGAGTGATGCTGCGGGACGGGGGGAGACAACACCCTACAGGAACACCCAACAGGCAGACGGCAGCCCAGGCTCCACGGGGACCTTGGTTCCTCCCCAGAATCCCAGCAGCCAGCAGCCCTCCAGCAAGCCTCATAGCAGCATGCTAGCACCGAGGAGTGAATGATGGGCGCACAAGAATGCACACGTGTGTGCGGACGGTGACAAGCCTTCACTTTCTCACAGGCTGAAAAAATGTGCCCCGGCCACACTCAGCATCCCCCGGGGTCCCAGACACCTTGGGTTCTGGCTCACACTCTCCTGGAGCCCACGTCCTCTGTCACCATCTTACAGGTGGGGAAACTGAGGCCTGCGGTGGGGGTGGGGTGTTTCGGAGCCCAGCAGAAGAGCCGAGATGTGGCCTCTCCACCCTTCTGTCCGCTTCAATGGCCAGCAGATGTGTCAATATTTGCTCAGGAGAACTGCTGGCTCGACAGCCCCCAGAGCGCGCCTGGTCTCTCCCTCTGTAAGATCAGGGGTAGCCTCTGAACTCCAGCCAGGACCCTGCACCTGCTCTTCAGAAGGGAGGGGCTCTCCCTGCTGGGCCGTTTCACACCGCAGCTACCTGGGAGGGAACGGAACGTGGGCGGCAGTGGCAGGTGAGCTCTCCGCCACGCAATCGGGTCTGAACCCCAGCGCCACAACCTTTTGGCGCTGAGTGCCTTTGAGCCAGCCTCAAAACCTCTCGTAGACTCAGTTTCCTCATCCGGAAAATGGGCTCCACGCCCATCTCACTGGCCTGTCGCAGGGCTGCTGGGACAGGCGGCGGGTGCTCCCCAGGCCCGGCAGGGGGCGCCGCGGGTCCTCAGGCCTCGCCCAGTCGCCACGTGGTGTCCGACCGGCAGCTGCGCTCGGCTGGACTCGTCTCTATTCGGCGACACTTGGCTCCACTCGGCCAGGCTCGGCTCTGCTCGGCTGCATTCGGCAGCACTCGGCCAGACTCGGTCTTGTTCGGATCTGCTCGGCTTCGCTCCGCGCCGGAAGCGCAAAGGCCCTGCCTCGGCGCGGCTGCGGCTCAGCGCTCCTGGCGTGAGGCCCTGGAGTGTAGGCCGAGGAGGCGGGTCCTCGGCCCTGGGCCCTTGGTGCTGCCCTGGCAGTGGGGGTCCCGCTTGCCTGGGCCCTGGGCTGTGCAAAGGGAGCCACGAGCCAGGGCTTGAGGCCGAAGCAGGTGGAGAGGGAGGGGCTCCCCGAGCCTGGCGTTGGGGCGTCGTTCCCCTTCCTTTTGGAGGGAGGGGAGGAGAGGTTGGCGCCAACCGCAAGCCGGAACCTGCTGGCTCTGCCTCTGGTCGGTCCTGTCGGGGGAGGAAGTTGCTGCCCCGCGGTGTCCCTGAGTCTCGGTTTCTCCTCCAACAATCAGTAGGTTTCCCGCTGGGACCGAGTGCCTGGTGCGGCGCTGGCGCTCTCCTGACTCAGTTTCCCCTTTTGTAAAACCTGACAGACCGCCCAACTCCGCTGAACACCTTTGGGATCCGACGCGCGCTACTGAAAGCCCAGGAGGGGGAAACTGGGTCCGGAGAGCGAAACTTGACCCCGCCCCTGGACGGGTCAACGTGGGGGATTCGATAGAACAAGACCTGGGGCTGTGCCCGCGGGAGGAAGCCGGTGTGTGTTGGGGGTGCTGCGGGGACTGCGGGGGTTTGGAGGAAGAAGCGAGTGCCTGGCGCCCCGGCCTGCCCCAAAGTTCCCTGAGGAGGGGACAGGCTGGTGGGACGGGCTAGTGGGACAGTGGGGGGCCGGGGGCCGGGGCCGGGTAGCCTCCCAGGTTCCCGGGCCGGCGACTCTGCCCAGCAGGAGGCGCTCGAGTCTTCCTTTGTTGAAATTGATCTCTGCAGAACAATTAGATCTGTGACTGACCACTCACAGCCTCCATAGCAGAAGCCAGGAATCATCATGTTTACTGTCCTGTCTGCTTTTCTGACAGGCACACGTTTTATTTTTTAAGTATATGAAGCGCGCGGTGCTTTGTAAGCACTGGCTCGAATGTGCCTATTTTCACATCCCCTCCTGACCCCGGGCGAGTGCGGGATGGTGGCCAGGGTTTTAGCAGGCTTGTTGACCACATCCTGCTGTGTCAGTCTGTGCTTCATCTATCTCCTCGGTAAAATAGACAGATGAGTTAACACGTGTGCCTACCTCAGAGCATTGTTGGAAGGATTAGAGGAGTCAAGACATGGAAGGCCCGCAGAATGGGTGGGGCCAAAGCCCTCCGTCTTAGGGCTAGGGGAAACGGTGGAGGTGCCTGGGGGAAGGGCCCATACCCTGGCTTTCTGCATTGGGGTTCCTCCTTTGCTGCTGGGGGTGATTAGCAGGGTGATGAGAGCCACCCTGGGCCCACACTCCTCCTGGTCATTATGTTGTCCTGGGTCCTAGGGTACCTGAGAAAGGGCACACACCCCTTACTGATGGGTGACCAGTGGGGAGTGCCCCCGTTGCACATTCCACCAGTCAGCTCACATGGTCCTGGTCACCCCATGTTTATCTGGCCCAGGCACACCAAGGCTCAGAGAGGTAAATTTGCCCAAGGTCATACATCTGGGAGGGGGAACTGAGTCATCATCCAGGTTTTTCTGCCCCGGGGCTGCAGCTTTGTTTCCAGGCCACCTGACCAGCTGAGGAGATCTTCAGAAAGGCTGGGACACCAACGGATGACGCGTGAATGGAGGAATTTTCAGGCCTGGTGAAAGCAAGTGGGAGGGAAATACTGAAGTGTAATGTTCCAGAGTTCTGCTCTCTTGCCTGCTCTGACTCCAGCCGGCCGCCCTGCACCTAGAGGAACAGGAGGCCCTTCTCTGGGGCATCGCGTGCCCTGGGAGCCAAGTGAGGTGGCCCTGGAGCCTGGTGAGCTGCCTGCCTTTCCAGACCTCAGCCTCCTGACCTGTGCAGTGGGGTAAGCAGCTCTTCCCTGCTGAGGAGCTCTTGAGGGCGGCATGGGACGCGCTGCCAGGCGCACAGTTGGCCCTTGACAAAACCATTCCTGTGTCCCCAGCCTGTTTCTCCCCAAGTCCCATCGATCTTTCTCTCCATCCCCCTTTCCTCAGAAGGTCAGTTTTCTAAGCCCCAAGGCTTGGAGCCAGCCAGGAGCTGTCTCTTTCTTCAGTGCTGCCGACTGAACCCTTTTTCCTTAGAGGCTGCAGGGAGGGAGGCTCCCCTTGGCTCCCTGTGTCTGCAGCCGTGGCTCTGCGCCCTGGGAATGCTGCCTAAGGCAGGGCCACGTAGAGGGCAGGGTTAGTGCAGGCCTTTGGGTGTTCCCAGCGGCCACAGTCCTTCAGTCTGCTTTCCTTGGGGCCCCTTTGCACCCCTGAATGGATGACCTGGGGGATTCCAAGTTGGTTTGGGAGGGGCAACACCACAAGGCTGGAGGTTAGGAGGATCTGGCTGTCATCCCAGTTTGGACTCGTCTGCTACTTGACCTTTGAGCCAAAGAGAAATCCTCCCTGGGCCACAATGTCCCTGCTGGTCAGATGAAAGAATCAGATGAGATCATCTCTGAGGATCTCTCCAGGCTTCATATTCTTCTGTTTGATTATCCCCCAAATACATTGGAAATTGGAGGCCCAAGGATGAGTCCTGGTCGAGGACACACAGCCCAGAGGCTATCCTGTCCTCTACGTTTTGTCCAGCTGTGAGTGGGGACTGGGCTTTAGCACCCAAAGTCCTCGGTTTAAATATATCCCCTCCCCCTGGGGTCCTTGTACTCCTGCACCTTCCTCCTCCTGGGGATGGCCCTGATCTGCGCTCTTTGCTCCATGCCCATGCCCAAGCCCCGAGGGAACTCTGTCAGGTTGGTGAGTCTTCTGTTCTGTAGGGGGGCTTTGCTCCTCTCCACCAGGTATGTGACCTTGGGCAAGTCACTTTAGCAGCCTGACTCCAGCTCCCTAGGACTAGTTGAAGTAATGGATATAAGCACCCTTTGGGGGCCAAAAGCTCCTAGAGAGATGAGACCTGGCTCAGGCAGAAGTCCCCAACAAATGTAGAACAGGAAGATGCAGTAAACAAGCCAGCCAGAACCCACCAGATCCCTTGGGGAAGGGCAAGGGACATTTGAGGCCATCTTTATGCAGGAGTCCTGGGCCCCAGGAAGCCAGGGCAGAGAGTCTTTGCCCAACTTCAGCCTAACAAAAAGGAAACTGAGGCAGGACCCTGCCCAGACCCAGAGGTACACAGGCTACCCTCCTATGAACTTCCACAGGGGAACAGTTCTAGAAGACCAGGATGAGTCAGTAACAAGGGCAGGACTGCAGTCAGGGGAAGACGACTTTGGTAGCTGGGGCTGGGGCATGGGGAAGCGACCTGGCTGCTGCCCTGGCCCTGTGTCAGACGCATTAGAACCAGAGCGACTCCATCTTGACTAGGGGCTGAGTAAAATGAGGCTGAGACCTGCTGGGCTGCACTCCTAGGAGGTTAGGCATTATTCCTCCTTTTAGTCATTTTTAGGATGAGATAGGAGGTCAGCAGGACTGGTTTCACAAGGTACAGGTCATAAATACCCTGCTGGTAAACAGGATGTGGTCTACAAGCCTGCCAAAACCCAGCAAATCCAAGGTGGTGATGAAAGTCACCTCTGGTCGTTCTCGTTGCTCATTATACACTAATTATAATACCCCCACCGGCACCATGACAGTTTACAAATGCCAAGGCAATGTCCAGAAATTACCTTATACAGTCTAAAAGGGAGAAGAGGTCTCAGTTCTGGGAAAATGCCCTCCCCTTTCTTGGAAAACATTAATAATCCCCCTCTTGGTTTAGCATCTAGTCAAGAAATAGTCATAAAAATAGCCAACCAGCAGCCCTCAGGGTGCTCTTCCTATGGAGTAGCCATTCTTTTGTTTCTTTACTTCTCCAATAAACTCGCTTTCACTTTACTCTGTGGACTCACCTCAAATTCTTTCTTGTGAGAGTCCAGGAACCCTCTTTTGGGGTCTGGATCGGGACCCCTTTCTAGTATCATTTTTCTGGTGAACCACGAAGGGACGACACCAGAGAAACCACCGACCCAGAGGAAACAGACTACAGCACTGATTGTCCGACCTTGGGTAAGCAGTGGGGTATTTTATCCTGCGTCAAGTATGGATTTGGTTTAGGGTCCCGCCTAAGAAATAGGGGTTAAGGGCCCCGCTTAGTAAAGGGCAAGGATGGTTGTCAGAAATTGGGTTAGAGGCCCAACTTCAGAAGGTTGGAGTTTTTCCTAAGATTTAGGGGGCTAGAGGTCCCCCTTGATAAAGTGCCTTGGTGAGGAGAAATGAAAGCCGTATTATCTTTGGATTAATCTGCCTTGTACTGTTTGCTGACAGCTGTGGGTGACAGGATTAGGCATGTACAGGATCATGGGACGTGGGGAGCTTTCTTCTCCCTAAAGGGGGCAACTTCAGAACCGATGGGATCGCTGGAAAAGATACTTCGCTACTGACAAGCGACCGCCCGAACCTCCCATCCAGTGTCGATGGAATGGGTGGTTCTTCCCCTAGCCTCCCTTAGCTCCTGGCCTTCTCCACCTTCTGGCAGGCAATGCTTTTCTTCCCCTTTCCTTTCTCTTTCCTATCCTTTCTGTCACTCAGGGTGACTGTCCACTCTTCCATCGTGCCCAGAGACCACATGTTGAAATTCCTGGTTGGAGGCCATTCCACCCCACTTAGAGAGGATTGAAGATGACAAGGGCCACTGGGGACAAGTTTGAGCCTTGCCAGGTTGATGTTGGGCATTGACTGAGGCAGCTGGTGACCAGGAAGGGGAAATATTAATGTTAATTGGGTTTCCCCATGCAGTTGGGCGGCATCTTACAAAATTCAGAGGCTTTTGCCTGTGGTTCCATGAAATGGAAAAGACAATTTTCTTTTGTAATGTGGCTTGGCCCCCATAGCAATGGTACAGCAAGCAGGGCCATCAGAGCCACACAGAGAAAGGGAACCCAGAAGCCTGGCATGCTGGTAAAGGGTAAGAATTTCTCACCAGTCAGGCTTCTGGCCTCCCTTTCTTTGTGCAAACTGGTTGAATAAAGGATACAAAATCACTGTCTCTCCTGCAAGGAATTTGAGGCATAAGAAAAAGGTGGCCGGGCACGGTGGCTCCCACCTGTAATCCCAGCACGTTGAGAGGCGGGGGCAGGTGGATCACGACGTCATGAGTTCAAGAACAGCCTGGCCAACATGGTGAAACCCTGTCTCTGCTAAAAATACAAAAATTAGCTAGGCATGTAATCCCAGCTACTTGAGAGGCTGAGGCAGGAGAATTGCTTGAACTGGAACCTGGGAGGTTGCAGTGAGCCAAGATCACACCACTGCACTCCAGTCTGGGCTACAGAGCAAGACTCTGTCTCAAAAATAAATAAATACATAAATAAAAAGAAAGAAAAAGGATTTGTGGAGGCTAGTCTTAAGCTTTAGGGAATCTGTTGTACTTTGTGCTGTGAATTTATCTTTCTGTGTCAATCTGTCCTAAAAGGAGGTACTGTAGGATAGGCCCAGGACCCCATAAGCCTGTTATTCAAGTTGGTCCAGCAGACCGGTCAGTTACAAACTTTGTGGCAGGTCCCTGAAATAAAAACTGCATGAGGTTTCTGTCTTGTTTGTTTTATGTCCTTGGGAGTTTAACCTTGTGACCATGTGGGAGTTCTTTCTCTTAGTCTCCTTTATCCAGAGGACAGGAAGCTGGAGGTTCACGTGATAGCTGTAAAAATTATCCTGAGCAGTTGACAGCCTTTGTAAGCTTGAAAGGGGCTTCTCTAGTCTCCTTCGAGGAAAAACAACAGAAGCTATCCAGCTCTGTGGCTCAGAAGCTAAGGCTTTGTCTTTTCACACTGGGGACCCAGGTTCAATTCTCACCTTAGGGAATGAGTCCTTTCTGGTTTAATATCTATGTGACCTTTGCCATTTATTGATTCTCTTCCCCTCCATAAACAGCTTCTGACTTCTCATTTGAATTTTCTTTCTCTGAGCTATCTTTGGTGAGTCTAGATCTGGTAAAAACTGCTTATCACCTCTTTGAAAATACCTCATATACCTGGGTTAAGTCATAACCTTAGTTAAAGCTTACTGGTTTCATCTGGGAGGCTACTGTTTGTGAAGTTCAAAAGCCAGAAATATTGGCTGTTTGTCCTGGCTGGAGTCTGGTAACAAGATTTGGTGAAAAGTCAGCTTAATTAAAAATGGATATCCAAGCTATACATACATTGAAAAGGCCTTTATGGTTTGTTTTCTCTTCTTAGATCTTATTTTTCTGAAAAAAGTTTTTCTTTTCAGTCGACTGAATTATTTTCTCCATTTTGTTTTCTTGACACTCTTGATGCCCCATCTGAGAGGACCTAAGATAAATTTTAATAGCCTGGGACTCCTTGGGAAAAACAGGAGGTGCCACAGACCCCATTTTGGGAGACACCTCTATTTTCCTCATGGACCCCTAGGAACTGAAAGCAGATAGACCCCTCTCAAAACCTAAGGCTCTGTTCTATTTCGCATTGTGTTATCTGACAGTTGTGACTTTTGGGGATATCAGAAATTAGTTTGCATTGTAAGACAGCCTTTAGCCTTGCTATGTAATAACTAGGTGGGAAATACAGTTTTAGGGATGGCTAATGGCAGTTATGGGGGGTACTTGGCCCTTTGCACATTTGGATCAGAAAAGCATGCTCTTGGCCACCTAGAAGGTATGGAAGCGTCCCCAGCCTCCATTGAGAGATAAGACTCCCATGGGGGATGGGCTGATTTCCTCTCTTTGGGATCCAGGATCCAATATAAAAATGGGACTCTTTAATTTTGGGCATCTGTTTTGCCTTCGGCTGTGCCTACTTATTAGGCCTTAGAAACTGCAGGGTTTCCTGGCCCTGTTCCTTGAAGGGCTCCACCCTGAAGTCAGTAATCAAATTAAGAAACTTAAAAACTGGCAAATGAAAAATCTTACAACTACTGGATCTTCTGTCTGTGTATTTATATGTGTTGTGTGTGTGATGTTGATATATGAAAAAGCTCTGATTAATTGGCTTACAAATAATAAGTGCTTAAATCAAATATTTTGTCAGAAAAAATAGAAACAGTAACACCTTTTGGTTCACATGACTTTAATCTTTGGGAAATAAAGACAGTTTTAAAGATTACTGGTAAAATTAAAATATCTTCAAAATTTAGACATTTAGTCTAAATTAGGCAGGTCAGATATTAGGTGTGCTAAAAGCTTCAAGGTCATAAACTGCATCATTGACTTTTGAAAATTGTCCAGCTTACCTGCTTTGGGGTCATTAGATTCTAGATAAGGCCTTGGACTTGTCAAGTTAGCCATGCCCCCAGCTATACTGGGAAGAGTCAGACCTTTTTTTTTTTTTTTTTTTT